GAGAGAGAGAGAGAGACAGAGACAGAGAGAGAGAGAGAGAGAGGGAGAGAGAGAGAGGGAGAGAGACCCTGCCCTCTTCAGAGCCTCCCCTCTTCCTGGGGAAAAAAACCCCCCTGGACTTTCTATGACTTAATTACGTGTTTGTTTATTTATTTCCCTTTTTTAAATTTATATCATATTGTTTCTATTTTTAATAAATGCTGTTTTTTATTCTATTCATCAAATAATCCTGAAAAAAGTACCACAGGTTCCAAAAAAAAATATTCAGCAGTAAAACTGTTTCCAACATTCAGAATAAATCAGCATTTAAGAATGATTTCCGAAGGATCATGTTACACTGAAGACTGGAGTGATGATGCTGAATATTCAGCTTTGATCACACAGGAATAAATTACATTTTAAGACCTGGACACCAGCGCACTGAACGCTCTTTGTTTGCACATGTCAATGTTTACGAATAGATTAAATGAAAAGGGACATAATTAATCTTGACAAACTATATATATATATATATAAGGCGTAGTTTGCTGGGGATATATAACCAAATAACCAAAACTAGCAAGTTTTGCGAATTCCATTAAGATATTGCCACAGTCTAACATTATAAAAAAGGCACACAAACTAAAAAGACTGATGAAAAGAGGAGAAAACAATCTTGCACCAGCACTAACATATATTACAATCTTTTTAAACCACTCATGACCAGCTTTACTAGAATTGATCACGTTTTATTGTAGGCTCATTTATTGTGGTAAATTATGTCTAACTTGTTGTAGAATTTGTAATAGATCTGTTAAAGGAATAGATTTTTCCCAATAGATTTATATTACAACTGTGGCATGCTGTAGCTATTGTTTAAATGTGCAGGCTGTTTTGTTTTTTTTTCCCAGAACAAAAGCTATATAGATTCATTAAAAAATAATTATTGGCCTGGTAATGATTAATAGTCTAGAATTATTATAACAAATGCTACAGTTAAGAACTATGGTAAATTTTCATAAGAGCATTTTTGCAGTAGCTCTTTAGCATCACTGTTGAAGAGTAATTAGCTGGCGAAGTGGATTTACTTACTGTAGAGTTAACGAAAGTTATCATGAGAATAGTAATGTTTGAAGCAGATGTCATAAATGTCAGCAGGCTGGGAAGATTTTAAAACGAGCGTTTAAAACGACTTTATTGATAACTGTATATTATTCCATATTACAATGCTGCTTCTGAAATACACTAACATGAAATACTGATTCAGATTGAAATTAATTTATTGCATGAGAAGACGAGAGACTGCAAAGCTGTCAAGGGAAAAAAAATAAAAGTCCTGATCAACTTGGTGTTTATTTTGTGATAATGACTGGCTGACGGTACACGGTCCTGCTTATTACACGGCTGCTTAAATA